CTCGCCGTTTTATGCGCTCTATGCGCGCCGTACGCCATGCCGCACGCAGTAATGATGCATCGCTTCTCGTTGTTTAACTTCTCTTCGTGTGCTCTCGCGCTTTTTTGCCCTTATTTTACCGTTCACACTCGCGTTTTTGACCTTTTGTTGCTTTTGAATTTTATCTTGTATTTTGTATGTGCTGCATTTGGTCGAAATACGTCCACTTGTAAAATAACATTATCGATATCGCGTTACTACATCTTTTGAACGGCACGTATAGGCAGAAATTTTTTATTTTTCATAATAATTATCATAACTGCTTGAAATATTCCATATGTTTCTCAAAGCATTTGTTTGCGCGCGCGATCGTAAAAACAGCGCGCGCATTATAAACGCAGCGAAAGAAACATGAAACTGCGGAGATTAACGAAAATGAACAGGAAAGAAATAAAAAAGTGCCTCGGTACTGCTGCCGAGTGCTGCTGCTATTGTAAAGGATTTAAAATACTCCTTTCTTGTTTAGCTGTAATAAACAGAGGCAGCTTTTATTTTCTTCTTACCGTTCATATACGTACGTGTGTACGCGTGAGCTCTTATCGGTTTTTCCCCAACGCGCGCAAGTCATTTTTTTCGGACAACTTTTTTCTTTCTCTCTCTTTCTCCACCTCTCTCCGCATACACTTTTGCTAATGCATAAGTATACGTCTAGAGCGGCTTCCGCAAAGAATTTTTTGCATCGCTGAAGAACATCGTGAGGCATATAAAAAGCTTTTGGCTTTCTTTTTTTTTCACCAAGCCTGCACGGAGTATAAAACTAATTCATACTCTGCAAAGCTCGCGGCGTTGTGATGTAAAATTAGATATTAACTCGTGGTTGGCAATAAAAAAAGCGAAATGTCCAAAAAATATTAATTGTGCGCTTTGTGATCGGAAATATTAGTTATTTTTCGGTCGCGTACGCGAAACTTAATCGAAGCCTACAACTCAAAGTCGAGTGATCCATGTGTAATAGCACGTCAGCCAGCTGCCAATACTCGTCCGATGGAAATCGCAAGCATCGGGTATGCATAAGAATCGCACACACGCGACATTTGAGCATTGAAAACTCGAAATTTCGTTATCCAACGTATACTGCTCGTATAAATAGATAAGGGGCCCTATGAATCATTCATTTTCGTGTCAAGCTCGCTGGCGTGCAGTCGCTCGTGCCTGGCGCTCTCTGCCTGCGTATACCATGCGACTGACATCTATCCCCTCTCAACGGATAATAAGATATTTCGGTGGGGCTGCCGCTAGCACCGAATCCGCGTGACGACGACGACGACGACGACGACAAAAAAATTCAATACCTCGTGCCATATTTATGATAAGATCACGCGTCATCGGCTCCGCGAGAGCAGCTACGGCAGCGGCACGACAGAGCCGAAGAATCGATCTGTCAGTCTTTTGTGCGCACAATGTGCAGCATATATAGCGGCGCAATTTCGCGCGCGCGCCCGATCTTTGCTCTCTATAGATGTGTACGAAGACTCTTGTGTGCGCCTTGTTGGCCTGTATATATATGCAGTATAGCATTGCACGTGCCGTTCGCGAGCGGCACCGACAAGCAGCAGCAACACGAGTGGCATTCGAGTACTCGTCCCTCTTGAACTAGCAGCTCCCACACTTTGATCCGCGTTTATAAATGTATTCTTAAGCACATTCAGTTTAAAGTTTGTTTGCTTCTCGAGTACTTTACACGTACAAAAAAAGCCCTATACGTGGCCTAGAGCGCGCAAGCTCGACTCTGGCCGGCCTAAATTTTTCGGGTCGTCGATTGTCCGATACGGTAATAGCTTTGATTTAGGTTATAGTCATATTTAGCGGTCGTAAATTTGTTGTTAATATCGCGAGCTCACGGGAGAGACGGCGGCAGAGGCAGGCATGCGTGAACGGCCAGTTATAAAAGCTCCCAGAGCGTCGCGCGACTGCATTTCGACCACTGACCGACATGTTATTTCGGTCTCGAGTGTATGCAAATAGTGGAAATAGAAACTAGGCTAGTGTTGGATGAGCCTCTCTAGCTCTTTCTCTCTCGTGATCATTCCGAGGTAGATTTGCACATTTGTCGCGCTTATTAATTTTCGACGATGACCGCTCGTACACTGCCGTAAACTCGACGATCGATCATTGCTCGACGCGCAGCTTCTGCTCGCCCAGTGGATCGATAAAACAAATTCTTATTAGCTTAATTCGCGCGGGTGTATATTCGAGTACGTATACGCACGATAGTATTGTATTCATATTTCGAATAACGTATATCGTTTAAATTTGAATTTATGCGTGCACTAAAAATTTCAATGCTCGCGCGCGCGCTCACTTGCGTTAGGATCGAGGCAATAACTCTGAATTAACGGTGCACTTTCCCAAATTAAACGCTGAAAAATTACGCGTACACGAGCGATGCGTTATTGATATTTATGGCTTAGCGTTTATTCCTCGCGGCGTGTAAAAAAACTTCTCGCTCGGGCACAAAGCGCATTTCTCCGATTCGTGAATTTTCTTTCGGCAAATCATTGCAACTGCGTTGTTTCATTTGCCCACGTGCCTCGCCGCAGATTAACTTGACAATTTTCGAATCACACATCACTCTTTGCCGTTGTACTTCTCTTTTACAAAATTTTAATTTTGAAAAATTACCCATATTCGCAGGTACGAAATTTGGAGAAAATATAATTATTTCAAAGCGTTTCAATTAGAAGACAAATGTATTGTGACGATGCAGTAAAAGCTGCTGAGCCTAAGCCAACTTAGAAAAAGGCAATAAATCCTCTTGGCACTGTGCGTACTTCCGTATGTATCGCTCGGTAGAAATGAACTGTGCATTAACCTTCCATACACACTTTGCCACGCGTGTAATCGAATTTTCATCGTATTCTGCCTAATGGAATCGTGTTATCGTGTGCTCGCGTGGACAGTTGGTCAGCTTCTGCACCCTCGTTTTAACGATTTCTACGCTACCTACGTGGTCCGTCGTTTTTCCGTGTAGATTTTTCTCCTGAAAATCTGAAATTAAGCAAAATTTACCCAAAGTTTAATTCTTGGGTCTTGAAATTATTTCGAAGTTGATTAATCAAATTTCATAGTTCTATTGTGAAATTGGTGTTACAAAGACACATCTATTTAGCGATATGATATTTTCATCCGTCGACAGTGCTTTTAAAGATCTCGAGCGCGTCTATTCATCACGCGTATTCAGTGCACCCGATAACTTTTCAGCGAGTTAACGAAAAAAGTGGGATCCACGAATCACGAAAGCCAAGCCCTGCGCAGATAGCCAATGAAAAAACGTATTAGTCAAGTTTGATACTCATAAGTGACAGGCGGTAAATTAGTCTACTCGGCTCTCTCCTCTCTGTCCCCTCAGAACGGCTCCACTGCCAAGTACGTCGAGACTTTCAATTTCGGGTGACAGAAGAGCGACCCTTGCGCGCACGACTCACCCCCGGCGGCAGCTCCCTCCGACGCCACATCATGGGGCGCTTGCGAATAAGTATGAGCATGAGAGAAGGTCAATACCATACTGGAGAAGCGCCGACGTGCCGAACGATGTACGTCGAGCCCCCAGGAAATCGAAGAGTCTATTCGGACGGGATGCACTTTATATAGATATATTATATTGTGCAGTGTGGAATCTCGTTTGTTTACCGCTTGAGTAGCACAAATATCCCAAATTTATCGTCGGTTCAGACGCTCGACCAAACGGTTTTAAATAATTTAGGGTAAATTGACTCGTTTCCTCTTTTATGAATAAGCGTCGGAGCAAAGTGAATAGAGAAAGAGAGTATCGCGCGTCGAGTGTGAAGTAGCTTAAAATAAAAGCAATTGTACTAAAAAAGTTTGCGTTAAAACGACGAAAAGAAATTTTAAATTTTAATAACTGCGCGCTTTTTTTCGCATTTCGATTTTTGTAAGGAAGAATAGACTTTAACTCGTGGGCAAATTGCGCTCTAAAAAATGAATGCAGCCTTTTTTCCTGTCTGTCTGTCTCGCTCTTTCTCTCGCTCCGTCATCACATATACTTTGCCCGTTGGCTGCTACGTTGCAATTCAACTTTTCTCGGGGCTCTGCCGCGCCTCCCTATACATATCAAACAGATTCTATAGAGCCGTCGAGACGCCGACGACGAGGACGGTTAACGGCTTCCTCAAAAATTCATGTCACAGCGGCTATGTGTGTGCCGCGCGAGCCGAGAGCAGCAGCAGCCGCTTGCGCGCAGCCTCCACCGACAATGAATCCACTCTTTACCTTACTTCTCTGTATTATATAAAGTTGCTCTATTTTACCGTTGCACCGTCGCGAAGAATCGGGATTGTATATATGTGTGCCCGCGCGGTTATGCTTTTTCCGCGCCTCGGACCAAGTTTTGCACGCACACGCGCAACTCACGTACGCTGCCGCAGCTTGCTTGTTTTGCAGCTACAACATTTGTGCTCTGCGCAGCACCGGCAGCCGCATTCGCGAACTTTGTCAAAGATTATGCGGCGCACTTCGGGCTCGCGCGCAGCCAGCCGTTGCTATTATGCGCGGCGAACTGCTCGTGACGCGTAATATTATGCGTATATGCGCGAATGTGTGTTTGTACGTGGGTATATAGGGGAGGAACAATTTTCACTCGATTCGTTCGATGAAGTCTCTCTTCGCGAGCAAGAGAGAGGAGAAACTTTTTTCTCCGCGAGCAGTTCGGCTCTTCTCTGCAGTCGAGTGCAAAGTTGCTTTTTGACTTTAATCCTTGATAGTCCGTTTGAGATCGCATTACTTTCAGGATATTGACTACTTCGACTTCTGAGAAGTTTTTTGAGGAGAGAAAAATTGCCCCGTAGATGCACTCTGATAAACGTTTTCTTGTAGCTCCCATGAAGCTTTGAGACGGTACTTTTAGTTAGTACTCGTGTCAGCTTGACGAGACCGTAATTTATTAAATATACAAACTACTTACAATTAAAGTCTTATCAATGATATTTTTTATTTCAGCAATTTGGGCTCACTTCTTCTTCCTAGCAACGTTCTTCTGGCTGAACACCATGTGCTTCAATATCTGGTGGACATTCAGGTCAGTTTCCGTATTTAAAAAAAAAACTCTGTTTCTTACTGATAAATATCGTACAATTACAACGGGTCGAGGCGTTTACTGCTCTTACTCTGAAAAAGAAATGGCAATCTGCTCTGGATCTGTTTGGTATTAAAAGCACGTTTCGCCTCTGAAAAAAATCTGATAAAAGAGCAAAAGAAAGTGGCTCTTTTTTGCCGTTTACGGGAGAAACCTCCGAGTCAGATTTTCGAAGATGGAATTTTTTATGTAACTTGAATATTTAACTTTTTTTTATTCAGCACCTTTTGTTGATTCGATAAAGAACGCCCCTGATTCTGAGGTTTCGGTGGATCTTCGCAAATTTGAAAATATTTTCTTTAGCATTCGATACTCTGAACTTTTGCGTCAACGTTGCCCAATTACCAGTAAAGCTTGAAATCGACTACATCTTCGAATTTATCTTGAACTAAATCATTTCGTACCTTATAAGAAATTATACGAGAAAGTTGCAACTGACGCTAATTAAACGCAAAGTTAACTTGGGTTCAAATCTTTATTCTATGTTCGTAGCTTTTGCGAGTGTAGCAGCAATCTTAAAACAAATCTAACTTTCTGATTTTTCGACCTCGTTGCCTTAATTACATTCTAACAAGTGTCGATTGGTCCATTTGAATAAATAATTGAAGGTTAAAATCAGAACTGTAACTCCTTACGAGCTTTACAGGAAAACCACGAGAAGATTAATTTTCAACGGTATAGCTTTTGCGTACTTATTGCTTCGTATCTAAGCTTCGTTTACGCGCATATCCGCGCGACTCTCTAGAAACAAATGCTCGATGAACAATTAGTTTTAGAGGCGCACCGCCTGAGATCGCATACATTTGCATGAATAAAGACACTCTCGGCCTCGCGTTTCTGTGCTAGATTCGCGTGCGAGTATATAAGCGATCGCTTTAAAGAGAGAAAATTTCATTCCTAAATATACCGTGCCGAGTCCTCTATCGAAATTATGCGCGAAACTAGTTTATACTTCCACTTAAAAAATTTGCATATTGCACATTTGCCTCGCACACGCAGTTGCCCTAGGTAACCAAGTAAAAGTCTAATGTTATCTTGTAAGTGATGAGAATTCTCTATATACTCCTTGGGAGAAAGAGAGTAAGTGAGAGAGATACTCGGCGGTAATTTTTGCATAATCATTCGCGCGCTCGCTAGGGCATACAATTTTTTTGCTCTATTTCGACAAATTCCAAAGCTTATTGGATACATGTTAGATAAAGCTTGTAATGTCGTTGTTTTTTTTCGCATTGATGTATCTAATTCTGAGACGTGACATGATTAATGAATAAGCGTTATTTTATCGCGTTGTATGAATGAAAAACCTGTTACTCTTATGCAACTTATAATTAGAAAAAAAAATGTATCGTGAAATATGAGTAGCTACTCTTCGGCCAGCGTAGCTGCAGTGCGTACGTATAAAATGCGCAGTGCATGTACTTCGTCGTGTCCATATTAAGTGCTGGTTGAGAACATAAAGACTCGCGCGCACCCTTAGAACGTGTTTGAATTTTTTTTCTCCCGCTCGCTCGAATCTTTATTTATTTTTTATATATTCTTCCTCCAACGAAAAGAATCCAGCAGACGAGGTGCAGGTTAACTACTATGTTTATTCAAGCCTTAAATGAGCCTACTCATGTTTTCAAGACGCATAGTCGCTTTGCTTATTTTGCTCCACATATCGCGTTAGCTCGCGCACGTCATTTTTAAAAATTAAATCGTAATTTAAGGGGAGGTAAAAAAAATTTTCTCTGCAAAATTGGCCTAAATCTCACTTACAAATTAAGACAAAATATGTTACACGGTTATATACGAGAGCTCAGTTAGCAAATAAACAAGGTGAATTGATGACTCGAGAGCCGCATGGAGTCGGAGGGAAGAAAGAGAAAGAAAGAAAGAAAAAAGCATCAATTATAATGAAGCTACATCGAAAATCTCTCTGGAGAGCTTTGGCGCGCATAACAGCTCGATGCACGCGCGCTGCGTTTTGTAACTCTTCTCTTTCTCTGCCTCTGTGTCTCTATGTCTACTGCTCTTGGGCTATATGCTTTTGCACCGACCCAAAAGACTCACCTAATTAAAATGGATAACGAGCAGTTCTTATTTCGTCCTCCCCTTGTGGATGCTTTGCAACTCATTTTCTTATACCACGAGTGCGGTATCTAGAATACCGAATAAGAAAAAAAATTCATTTTTTCCCTTCTTAGAACTCGTAATAATTTAATTAGTTGCTCGTCAAATGCAAATGGATATAATTATTTGCAGCTTCATAAATGAAAAATTATTTTTCGGAGCGAAGAAATTTTTTGAAACTAGACTTGTCTATGATCTCGGGTTTATTTATTGTACTGTAAAATTATAACATGTTAATTTACTTGAATAAAATAGGCGGACCCGCATCTGAAAAAATCATTCGTTAGAGTATGTTTATAATTTGATTACTTACACTGCGCTAATTTATGCATCGCATGTGCCATGTGATACAAGGTCGCGGCTCAGTCGAGGTTGGATCGTTGTCGATACACTGTTAAACGATTGAATGATTTACAATCTACAGACTTGAGAGGGAATAGGAGAAAAATAGATAGAGAATTCATAATTAACGTATCAAACGAATGCATATAGGCTCTTTGGAGCAAAAATATAATTAGTACTTTGATGCGAAGGTAAGAGTGATACTTTGATACGACGTTGGCATATCAAGATATCAATCAGAGGTAAATTTGCGCCATTGTTACGAATAATGCGCGCTTATATACACGCATATGCGTAGATATCCAACTCGATTAAAAAGTTGGCAACGCTAAAAAACGAATCATTGGAAAGTTTGAATAAGATAGAGTGGGTATATAGGGACTGCGTGCGCGTAATAGCAGAAGGTGAGGTAAAAGTCAGGATTCATCGGCCTTTTATAATTGTGCGCGCGGCGAGCGCGTCTGATGTTTTTTTCTCTCTTTCTCTCTCTCTCTCTCTCTTTCTCCCTTTTTTTTACAATCTCGTGTGTGTACCTGCGCGCTTACGCCTCGACACGCACACCTGTCTCGAACACACACGTACGTATACATGTACACCTGTAAAACTAAACTCTCCGGCGAATAAAACTTCGCTTACGCTTGGACACCGTAATCACAGTGGCGTAAATTTGAAGCTTTATTTGCGCGCGATCGTTTTATGCACGTATTCATCTCTCTCTCTCTCTGTTCCTTCTGCAGTGCGCAGCGCATCAGTGGCAAGAGCCCGCTGTCAAGCCACTCGTGTATATGCTCGTGCGCCGCAGAGTGCTGCAGTCTGCGAATGAGGCGACTGTAATTGCTTACACTTTTACGAGCGCTTCGTTTTGCATTTTGCATTGTATCGATCCCGTGATGCGCGTAGCGGCCCGCTCGCTGTACGTAAGCAGTAAGTACAGCTGCGATCGTGGGTAACTCTGACGCTGCTGTTCCATCAACTCTCGGCGTAACTGAGACAGAGAGAGAGAAGAGACGAAAATTAACAATCCGAAATACCCAATGACGCCTCCATTGCAATAGATCCGTGTATAAGTATAATGGTAAGTCATCGTGCTGTATGTTACACGTATATAGGCGTCATTTCTTTCACTCGCGTGTGCGGCGGCGCCAATTTGCGCTTTACGAGTGGGTGATTAGATCAGCCTCATTCAGAACCTACGTAAGAACCAAAAAGGTCCGTTGAATCGAGCTCTACGATTGACTACGTATATAATACGTATGTGTATGAGCTTGCCTGTGTGTATGCGTGAGGAGAGAAGCATAAAAGTCGGCGGTGGCAAAAATCTTGATTGTGTCTTTCATCTTCCTAAGCCATAAAACATCTGTCCGCGCGCGTGATTGTCTTCCATCGGTTTACCGCACACAATTGACCCCGAGAGTGGCCGAGAGACAGAAAAGAAAGCTACAATCAACTGCACATACACTAGCATCGTCGTTCGTATTATCCAGGCATATAAAGCGTGATTTGTTTTCCTCCGGACACTGTAAGCGGCGGCGGTCCTCTATCGTGGGTCTTTCATCGATGCGCAACTTGGAACCGAGCGAGCAACCTCGTTTTCCACGAGAGATCGCTTTATCGACTAACCAGCGTAGTCGAGGTCCGCTTGACCCATATATTTGCCTGCAAAAAGCTCGCGTAGGAGACGCTCGTCTGCCTTTCGTATCGAAAGTAATACTTATTACTAATTCGCAATGTTAAAAGCTCTTTTGTATCAGCGAAAGATAAGAATCGCTCGCATAATTCCATGCAACCAAGGCGACGACGAAGACGACGACGACAGCAACAGCGACGAAGAATTCATAACGGATCGTCTCCCCTACTTTTGTTCTTATAATACGTTGCATGTGTAAGTGTATGTGTATGCGCGAGGCATTCCGCGCCTCACACACGTACATGTTACATGCACATTCGCACAATGTAATTTTGCCTGAAAACACGTTTGCCTTTTTTCTCGCTTATATATACCTTTTCGTCGTATTTTACGGAGAAACAGAGAGAGAGAGGGCTTGGAACGTGTTGTTATTTTTCCTAAGTATATGTATATACTACCTTGTATACACCGGTCCTGCATACACTTACTCTCGTTTCAACGACTTTCAAGTTTTCTCTCTCGCTCTCCTCTCTGTCTCTATCTCTCTGTTTACAATATATTTTTTTTCTGCATGCGCGCATGCATCGCACATATTGAAGCACAATATTTGAAAAACAAACATCGTCTCTCGACGGAGAAACGAAGTTCTCATAATCGCGCACTGTGCGTCTGCGCCCATAGACATGTTTTTACGTCCTTGTCGCAAATTAAACATCTTCTATATTATTTATGCAGAATCTATACAAGTTGCAAAATCCATTCGCGACTCGCTAGTGGCTCGCACAAATACGATGAGTGTGTTTGAATATGCATGCCAATAAATACAAATTGTATAATCTTACGAGTAATTTTCCTACACATT